GTTGAGCAATACAATTCAGCTCCCAGTATCTGGCTCTAGGGTCTTTACAAAAATTGACAAGCAAAATTATAAGAGCAAAAAAAAATCAGGGGGTGGGGTGTGAGACTGTGAGCAAAGCTTACTCCATCTTGAACTCCCTTAGCACTTGCTATGTCTTTCCTGTGACCCCTGCCCACAAAAGTTACACAGTAACTGAGTAAGGTAGTTAGAACCATCAGTAGAAACAGCTTGCTGACTACAAAAAAAGAGACCCGATGATTAATTACTGGTATGGGAACAGCCAGTCCAGCTACCTGCATCACAAGACCATAAAAAATAATATTCATTGCTATAAGTGGTGACATTAGCTTGTATCTTAGTAATTGCTTCTAGGTTTTTTTCTTGCTTTGTGGGAGCTGTCTGTATAAACTTGGGCTCAACCAGGAGGTGATACAGAGAAACTCTGCATCCACTCCTGGGTCGCTGCCCACCTGATCCATTACCTTGTAAATAAATTACCTTCTTGATTATAATTCTCTGCCTTACTGCATGGAAGCGCTTGCTTCATTTTTTGGTCTCAAGGTAACTTCTCAGTTCGATGGGCATTTTGCCTTTGCTCCACCTTCAGACAATGGTTCGCTGAGATCCTAGCACAATCTCTTTAGGAGTTGAGAGCCTAACCCTACACATCCATAGCGTAATCATTATCCTTGAGCAAGTGACACCGTTTCCATTTTCTTTGAGATTATGGCAAGCCAGGGTGTCTTGTCCCTACTCTTTCAGTCCTCTAAAGAGCTGACCCCTCACCTTCTTTTTTCTTTCAGCATACATTTATTGAGCATCAGCAAGAACTAGATTTGGGGAGGAGGAAAGGCTAGTGACTATGCAGATGAAAAAATAATCCCACCACTCATGGCAATTATTGACTTAGTCAGTCAATGAATAGTGCCTACTCTTTTTTTTTTTTTCCTTTTTTCTGTCTTTTTTTTCGTGACCGGCAACGGATCGCAACCCTCAGTGTCACGCCCGTACCGGACCGGGACCGGCAACAGGATGCAACCCTCGGTGTTGCACCCGCACCTCTCTCAGCCAGTGAGCAGCCGGTCTGTATGTGGGATCCGAACCCTCGGCGGGAGCGCCACCGTGCTCCCAAGCGGCGCACTGTAGCAGTGCGCCACCGGGCCGGCCCAGAATAGTGCCTACTCTGAACCAGGCCTGTGAAAGGGTCTAGAGGGTCTAGAGAGGGAGTAGAAAAACAAATAAGACATGGCCCCATTCCTCTGCAGCTAAGAAGTTGCTAACAGCCTTCACCACTTTGGTGGGTGGCAGAAATCATTCCACTTCCTTCTTCCCTCCTGGCAGAAAACACCGTTTTAACTGAACTGGGATGCAAAGCTGGCTTAATCAGTCTTCCAAGAACAACTTTCAGAAGACTCATTTATGGCACTAGGATCTGTTCGATGGATCTGAGTTCCATGTGGGCCACTTGAAGCTTCTACTTGTGGGTCAAGTAGCTAGGAGCCTGATTGTGAAAGATAAAGAGTTTGGCCTTTGGCCCAGCAAGACCAGTGCCAGAGGTGGGTGTATTGGGCACTGGGACTGGCTGGAATGACCAAGCATAGGGGAGATGCAAATTTCTTAAGAATTTGCCAATTTGTCAAAGGTTACAGCCAGAAATGGGCCCACGGCCATGGAAAAGTGGAAGTCCTGTCATGGAGGTAAAATAGTACCAGCCACAGTGTAAAGGTCTGGGGTTACCACTGGGAGAGGCTACCTCTGGGCTAACCCTGGACAGTGTCTGCAATGTTATATGCACAGGCCTGGGCAGCCATTAGAGTTCTAGGTGGTCTTGAGGGGCTTGAGGGCTCTCATCTAGCCCTTAGGGCAGCAGCAGATACTCTGCTTGGCTGTGGGTCTAGCCACCCAGGGACCACAGCTTGGCTCTGCCATGAACTGGTCTAGAACTCCTGACCAAGCTTAAAAAGAGCAAACACACCCTTACTTGGCTAATTCTCCTTTCATGCTAATCATCCCCAGAAGGGGAAAAAACACTTAGCAACCACAGAGAATTCACCTCGGAACCAACATCATAGATCACAGCACTTCTGTGTCAGAAGTTATGGGTGAATTAACAACCCCTTCGCCCCCTTTCAAGTCACAAGAAGGGCTGATGGGGAAGAGCTTTCCTATTTAGACAGAGCCGAGATGCAGGGAGTGTAGGGGAGCCAGCACTGGCTTTAGAGACAGAACTCCTGGATGCAAGTCCTAGCCTGGTCACTGGCCACAAATGTTTGAACAAGTCGTGAAATCTCTCACAGGCTTGCTTGGTCTTCATGTTTGCAAAGTGTCTGACAACATCACTACAAGGGTTGAAAGGAGGAGGATAATGCACGTGAAAGCACTTTGTAAGCAACGAACACTAAGGTCTATGGTCAGTACAACACCTTGCTGGTCGGTCTTGTCAGAGGATAACATCCCTTTTTCGGTCCAGAGCTAGGAAACAGTTATCTGCAATTGCTATTTCACAACTCCCTTCTGGCAGGGTATTTTTTCTGCTGGCTGCTGAGAAACTCAGAGCTGAATTTGACTCACCTGCACCAAGGCTGTGAAGATCACTAGGACATTTCTTTCTACTCTCTTTCCAGACTCACTTGGTTAATTTATGGATCGTCATTTTTCTCTTTTATTTACACTACCTTGTATATTATGTCTCCTTATCTTAAATCTTTTTTTGAGA